AGTTGTTCAAAAGTTCAAGTCAACACTTCTTTTCCTCAAGCAGCATCTGTAAGGCACAGATATTAGTCATTTGTCACAGCTGTTGTTTGTAGGACCTTGCTCTACACAAAGGCTTGCAAAGTAACAACAGCAACAAATCATTAAATTTACTTACATAGCCATGGAACATCTTAAGGACGTGATATCTATCAATGGTATATACATGAAATATATATGCCAATACATTATGACACATACTTTGCTGATTGCTGCACTGTAATAATTGGATACTTCTCATTAAAAAGACTGGGAGAACATAATAAAGCAAGCTGGTGGCATGCTATCACACTTTGTACTTGATTGTACAAAGCCAATATTTGCACTTCATAATGTGCGGGAGATTTGAAATCCCCACCTTAATTCCACTTTGGTCAGATAAAGTCAAACAAGAAATCAGTCAGCAACAGAGTGTCCAGACAAGATTTTATTTTTTAAATTTAGTTTTAATTAATTTCTGCAGAGACCAGAGAGTACAAAAATTAATGTTACTGGAAACCATTACCATTTGACTTCTGACAATTTTGTTTAGAAGCTCTGATGGCAGGATCCAGCAGCTCATCTGATACAGATTATTCAGATTAATTGAATTTGCTAAAAAAGCAGTTGACAGTTTGTCAAAACCTAGTTTAGGGTCTTTACAGGGATACACAATGGACCAGAAACAACCAAAGGAGAAAGCAGCGACAATGCTGTGGACAGCAAGTCATGGTTATTTAGGTTAGGGTTATGGCTAGTTTTAGGTGAGCCCATAACATGATAAATTGCTTACAGTGAACCTCAGCAATCAGCACACAGATGCTATTGGGTGAACAGAGTCAGCAGGGTAAAGGATCTGTGCATACTCAGACAGTCAAGGGGGTTGTGAGCCTCCAGGGATCTTGTGGCCATCAGGTCAGCAGAGTTTGGGGCTGGGGTGTGTTGGTATTCACTAAACATTGTAAATGCACCTAACTGCAAAGAAGGCAACATCTGGCTGTGGGTTAAAGTACACTGAGATAGGTACACTGAGCAAAAAGAGCAACAAACTCAGAAGCAGGAGTAGAGTCCTTGGCATGACTAGGACTGACGAGAGAAACTAGTGCCAGAAAAGCAATAACTGTCAGACCCCTAGGATTGAGTGCACCCACTGAAGAAGCTACCAGGCATCTCAAAGAATTACCAGTGCTGCTCTCCATGCTGGTGTACTGGAGGGTTTCCTGTGTGTCTGCAGTCAAAATGAAGAATTTGCACCTTCTGCAAATAAAATGGTGGATTCCCACCTTCTGCATGTAAAATGGATGATTTCTGCCTTTCAAGGATAAATTGGATGAACATCTTTAGATGAATCCCACTAATCATGGCCTTAATAAAAAATTCCAATTTCCTTAACGGCTTTGCTAAATCAATTCTACTGCCCTGTGACGTTAATAATGCTTCATCTTCTCTTAATGGCTTTATTGAAGGACTCTCACATTTGTGCCTCTGTAAGATAAATCTTGTTCCTTTAATAGTTTCTTGCGCTTTCATGTTTTACTCCTGGATGAGTCCCACTATGAATGGTTTAAATACATGCTTTCTACTTTTCTCATGGTTTAATTAACGGTTCTTCTACTTTTCTGTGGCCTTGGTGGTCTCCTAACTTCCTTTTCACATTAACCTTTGTCCTCTTAAGCTTCTAAATTGTCCTCATAGCATTTTAATTCTGGCTGCATGACATTCCCGAGTCTGCAATTTTGCCTGAAGTCTTTAGTGGCCCTTGATTTCCCTTACTGTAGCTATGCCTTGTGGTGCCTGCTCAGTGAGGTGGCAAGCACTTCCTATGAATTAGCTTTCTTAGTCTGTAAACTTCATCCTTTTTTAATGTTTTCTGTACATCCATTATGGATTTCAACATTATTCATGGATCCCCTGATGCCTGCTCACTCTCTGGCTAAACCTCAACTTGGGACTGCTACAGATTGTCAGCATTCAATTCAATCTGTGACAGACTTGGTGGGCCTTCTAATACAGTTGCGTAGGGTTTCTGGCTCACTGTTGTTACTTCTTGTCTTTTACAAGGTCTGAAGTGTTTTTTCTCCCTTAATTTTAGACTCCTGTCTTGTTGAAATACCAGGAACAGCTCTTTGGCTCTTCTGAAATGCTCAGCTCATCAATCATTATTATCTATAAAATACAGCATTGGGAATCCTTAAAGAAAATCTGTTTTAGAAGATAATTCTGCCATTGTGGAAGACATAAAAGGTTAAGGTGCAAGGGAAGTATGATGTTTTGAAAGGTGTGATGTGTGGTTTTGTTATGAGCATTATACGGTGAATGAAAGGAAGCGTCTCAAACTTATTATGTTCGAAGAATCCTATCTGTAGGCAAAAGGCAGCTTTGAGGCAAAAGAACTTTGGAGCAATTGAATATTTAGTTGGCTAGAATTTAGTGTACAATACATTCTTCTGTAGCAATAAAAGGTGAAAAAATGAGGTCATCCTATAGCAGACTGATAATTTTTTTAAAAATTGTTTAGATCATTAGGACGTAATCTTGATTTGCAATCCAACCTTGGAATCATAGACTCATTGAGGTCTACAGTGCAGAAAAAGGCCTTTCGGCCCATCATGTCTGCACCAGTCGAAAATGACCAACTAACTATTTTAATCACATTTTCCAGCACTTAGCCCATAGACTTGTTTGTCTTAATATCATAAGTGCACATATAAACATTTCTTAAATGTTATTAGGGTTTCTGCCTCTGCCACCCTTACTGGCAGTGAGTTCCAGATTCCCACCATCCTTTGGGTGAAAAATCTTTTTCCTCACATCCCCTCTTAACCTTACCTTAAATCTATGCCCTTGCAAGTTGCTCTGACCACCAAGGAGAAAGTCTCTTCCTATCTACTCTATCCATGCCCACCCATAATTTACACACGCCAATCACATTCCCTCCCACTCTCCTTTCCTCCAAGGAAAACAACTCCAATCCATCCAATCTCCCTTCATATCTAAACGTTTCCAGCTCATACAGCAATCTGGTAACTCTCCTCTGTACTCACTCCAGTGCAATCACATCCCTCCTATAATGTGGATACGGTTTTGGAGTAGATCTCTAGCTCGGGCTGTGGGTGTTGAGGTTGGTTGGCTCGCCGAGCTGGTTTGTTGTTTTGCAAACGTTTCGTTACCATGCTTGGTAACATCCTCAGTGCAGCCTCCG